TTTTTTTTTTTTTTTGTTGTTGTTTTTTGGTGGGGGGGGGGGGGGGGGAGTGGGAATCCAGATGTATTTAAATCCTAATATATTTAGGAGAACAAAATAAGCTCAGCCCCTCATATGAACTAGTGAGTAAAAGTAAGCCCTTTCTTGGAGTCTCCCTTTTCTTATAAGCGTGATAATTAAAAACGTAGGGCCTGAGACTCTAATGATAAGGACTTAGTTTTAAAACCCCTAAAAACTTCCCAAAGTGAGAGAAGTTTTAAGATACAGTAAGATTTCCCATTGCAGTGTTTTTAAACGCCTGTGATTTAACCTGACTTCACTTTTGTCCTGCTTTAGACAGGTTGCCATCCCCGCCCGCCCCCCCCCTCAGGCTTTTAAAGAGCAAACTTGTTTCTTTAAAACAATTTTTTTGAAAGAACAGTGTTTTTAAAACAAATAATGCTGAACACATATCTGTAGAGTTGTTTTGTAATTTCAACACGACTTTTTGTCAGGATTAACAAAAAATGGTTTTGATGTAAGTAGAGTAAATCTCTTGTGGAATAAAAGATTCATGATGCATAATACTCTTAAACGTTTGATATAAAATAGACAAAGGGTTGTGTTCCCTCTCCCTCGCTCAGTTTAACCTCCACAGATGTTTGCTGCCCTGTTATCTCTGACTTCTCTCTGAGCTTCCAGCAGAGTGATTCTGGGAGTCGTTTTGCCACTTTGATCTTTCTTGGGAAGCTCAGAGAACGAAACCAGGAGAGGCAACCCAGAGCGGGAACCTGAGCAGGAGGTGCCCAGGAGCAGAAGCATCACCTACTCAACGCCTAGCGGGGCCTGACAGCCTGGGGTCAAAACCGACTCAGTAACAATCTTATGGAAGCGGCCCTGCAAAAGGCTTGAGAAAAGGATTCAACTGGGAGGAGTTGTTTTGCATTTGTTTAAAAAAAAAAAAAAAAGCCTTGCAAAGGACAGCAGAGTGTCTCAAAGCACCGCGGCGCCCCAGGCGGGTATTAAAAGTTAGCCTGGGTTTCTGAAGCCTGGTGGAAGGAAGACGCCTGCAAGGCTTGGGCCTGGAATGGGAGTGGGTGAGGAAGTCGGGGAGGAAGACTGTAGCCGATTAAGCAGAGGCCTCTCCGGGAGCTGTACGTGGCTAAGGAGTGTGTGGCCCGCATCCGCCGCCTGCGAGGACGCAGGGCCCCGCTCCAGGCCCCAGCTCTCCGTGACCCGGGGCTCTTCCCAACTTCCTTTGGGGCCTCGGAGAGTTGGAGGCGCTGAGGTCCAGGGGTGGAGTCGCCGGGGCCCTCAGCCTACTCAGCCCCACGGTTGGGGAAAGAGGAAACCCGCGTCCGCGAGGAACCAAGGCGATGTCCAGGGGCGAAGCCAGCTTGGTAGATAGGTTCTTGTCCATCTGTATTCCCCGCGGCTCAGATGATAAAGGAGGGACTACAGGAGCCTGCAGGATGCTCTCAGGAACACACAGGCCCCAGACCTCCTCTATGCCTCAGCCACTTCTTTCGCTTTTACCCGAGGCAGTAAGGGGCGCAGACCCCCGAACGCGCGAACGCCGGGGAAATGGTGTCCACATAGACGACCAGCTGGAAAGCCACGCCTCACAGACACCCACGATGTCAGATAAAATGTGTCCCTTAGAAGTAATCCAGGTGTGCACTGGGCTCAGGGGCAGGACGAAGGCGTGGTTCCCCTTAGTCTAGGACAGGTCCAGGCTGAACTTTGCGAAACGGAGGGACGTAGACGCCCCGGTCGCTCGCAGCCTTCGATTGGCGTTGAATCAAGCTCGGGCTCGGGGACCCAGCAGGACCAGCTGCCCCCCACGCCGTGAAGCGGCGGGTCTCAGACCTCACCGCAACCCTATCTTCGCTCCCGAAGAGGGGGCCTCAAACCTCTCCCGGGAGCGGGAGGGAAGGAGGGTCGGGGATGGCCAGCGGGCGGAGATACACCTAACAAGGCGTTTTCTCAAAAGCGTGGCACTTGTGCAAGGGCCAAGCCATTGCGAGTAAAGAGAGCAAAGCAAGCAGAGACAGGGCGCTAATTGGCAGGAGGAAAGCTCGGCGCGTGCGTGCGTTCGCACGTGTCTATATGTCCGTGTGTGGGCGCGCGTGTGTGCACCTGTGCGCGTGTCAACGTGGGTGGGGGCGTAAGTACCAGCGAGCGTGTGCCTCCCGTCACTTTGAGAGAAAAAGTCTTTTCTCAATATGAGCTACTTTAAGGAAATGATTAAAACTAAATTAAACTGTCAGGCCTCTGGCAAGACTAGCCCAGCTCCATTTCAAATAAAAGTCACCCAGGAAAGAACATTAGCAGAGCGTGTCTGTCTCAGCTACTTGGGCGAAAGGGATGGGCAGAAAAGCCTTGCGTGTCCAACCTGGGAGAATGGTACCCAGTGGAATCCATGTCCCGCCAGACAACTAACTGGGGCGGCGGGGGAGGGTGGGGGGAGTTTTTTAAAAAGCATATCCGGTTCCTCTTCCTTATCTTTCTTGGTGCAGTTTAAAATTGGGCAGTTTCAGAAGAGTTTTTTAAAGTGCATTCTCTGTCACCTCCCCTTGTGCTTTCTCAGCCTAGAGACTGAGAAAGCGAGAGCAAGCAAGCTTCCTACTTCATGTTACCTTACATAATAGACTACTTGTATTTTCTTTATAAGCAATTGTTTATTTCTAAAGTTAAAAATCATCGGCGTCAGGATTTCATTCTCCAGATAGTTTTTTTTCTTTTATACTTGACCATCGCCTTAAAAGTTTTTAACCTTTAGGTCTGATTTCCCGGATTCAAGACCTGGCATACACGAGAGACTGTTTTTGGCCCCTGAACGTGAGGCGCATCAAGTTGTCCCGGAATTTCCAAACAGGAAAGATTGGGACTTCCTTCCCACGCACAAAAAGCCGTTTAGTTAACCCGGGGAGAAATACAGAATAGATGGCAGAGTGAAGGGGAGCAAGGACCCTGTCCAAGCACTGAGAGGGGCACTTATGTGGCAGCGTTATTTGGAATTTAATCTGGGAAGGAGCCATATCCTATTGAGGGGCAGTGGACAGCCCACGCCGCGCTGAGTCACAGGGCAGCGCTACACGTACCAGCCTAGGCTCCCTCTCTCCTCCCTTCCTTCCCCTTCCCTTTCCCATTCTCCTCACCGCTCCCTCTGATCTGGTTAACAAAAATAATAAATTATAACCTATATAAATTTACAAAAGCTACGGGAGTAAATCGGGCGGCGGGGCTGGACGACTGCGCTCTCGCGGGCCTCCTCCCTGCCGGGTTGCGGGCTGCAACTGCGAGCCCAGGCCCAGTGGAGAAAGCGATCCATGGGAACCGCAGTTCCCGGCTGCTGGCTCCTGCTGAGGGTTTGCACACACAGACAGCGCCTCCCAGGTGTTGGTGACTGTTGATTATCCACTTCCAACAACCAGTCTCTTCCAGATTCCTACCAGCTGCAGCCGAGTCCTGTCACTCTTCTGGTGGCCCACGGAAGAGCCCTTCTGAGCTCCGGAGAGCCCAAACTGGGCTCCGGCCAAGAGAGGTTCTCTTCTAGTGTTGATTTTTCAATCAATGCTCATTTCACACTGGGGCTTTGGGGAGGTGCGAGATTTGGGGAGAGCTAACGGAGAGTGCACTTTGAAGGTGAACCTGCCTTCCT